CCTGGAGTTTGGTCAGATTCATGTTGGTAGCTCCAATGACACTGTCCAACCATCTCACCCTCTGACATCCCCTTCTCCTCTTGCCTTCACACTTTCCCAACATCAGGGTCTTTTCCAGGGAGTCTTCTCATGAGATGGCCTTCCAGTGAGCACTCAGGGTTGATGTCCCTCACAATGGATAGGGTTGTTCTCTTTGCAGTACAGGGGATTCTCAAGAGTCTTCTCCAGCACCACAATTCAAAGGCATCCATTCTTTGGCGGTCAGTCTTCTTTATGGTCCAGCTCTCACTTCCTTACATCGCTACTGGAAAAACCAGAGCGTTGACTATGCGGACCTTTGTTGGCAAGGTGATGTCTCTGCTTTTTAAGACACTGTCTAGGTTTGTCATGGCTTTCCTCCCAAGAAGCAGGCGTCTTTTAATTTCATGGCTGCTGTCACCATCTGCAGTGATCATGGAGCCCAAGAAAGTAAAATCTGTCACTGCCTCCATATCCTCCCCTTCTATTTGCCAGGACGTGATGGGACCAGTGGCCATGATCTTTTTTTTTTTTGAGCTTCAGACCATTTTTTGTGCTCTCCTCTTTCACCCTCAGTAAGAGATTCTTTAAGTCCTTGCTTTCTGCCATCAGAGTGGTATCACTTGCATATCTGAGGTTGTTGACATTTCTTCCAGCAATCTTAATTCCGGCCTGGTCCTGGCCAAGCATGGCAGTCGGAGACCAAATGGCTAGAAAGGGGCTGGTGTGCATTAGGTAAATAAACACAGGGCTAGCCCAAGACATTTAGATGACTAAAGAAAAAAAAATCCCACTAAGAATAACACTACCCCCTCCCAGTCCATATGCAAAGTAAATTGGTCCAACCGTCCAACCTTCCTTTAACACGGGCAGTGGGAGAGTGTCCTGCCATGTCATGGCGCCCTCAGGCTAATTCAAAGAGAAAAGGACAAGTGTGGCAGAGGAGTAGTGGAGTCCAGGCCAGGAGGTTGCCAGGGTGGCTGTTAACACCCCCACCCCCAGTCTGCTCTGCAGAGCAGTAGGGCTGACCTGGACGAAGTCCTATAGAGTGGCATGGCATAGTTAAGAATGGGCAGAGATTGGACCTAATCAAGCCCCACTGCTTATCTAAGCAGGCAACTCCAGAGTCACCAGGCTGACTCAGCAGAGCCCGTTCTTTACCGCAAGAGGCCTCGATGAACCGTGCCAGATCATCTATGCTGCTGCTGAGGGAGTCCACTCACTCGCTCTGCTGAACGGGCAGCCCAGGCCTCAGACTGGGCCCCACAAAACAAAAAAGCTGTCAATGAGCTGGGCCTTGGCTGCTGCTGCATTGGTCATTCTGCCCCAGTTTCCTTGTTTTGGCTCCAAGGGCCGTGTGAGAGGAGTCTCACATGCACAATGGCTGCCTTGTTTGTATTACTAACGTCCTGGCACACCGCCCTCACTGTTATATAATCGCTGGGCTGTAGGCTGCTGGATGGAAGCCAGAACCACACAAGAGGGAGGAGGCCTGAGGGCTGAAGAGGGGAAATTGTTAGGGAGCCATGTGACGAGGGCAGCACATGGGAGGGAGAAAGCAGCTTGGGGGGCATCAGCCAACCCCCTGACTCCTAGGGCCCTTGGTCAGGCCGAACTGAGGCAACTTTTCTTTTGAGCCCAATTCCACACCCTTGAGGATGGAAGGGTGAAGACCCCCTCCACCCCAAACCAATGTGCCTGGTCTCTCCTGAGTCTGCTTCTCCCATGTGGACTTTGGGGAGTAAGAGGATGGGAATTCTGTGATGCCCACTGACCCCTTTTTCCTCACCCACGCCACTCCCCATCCCACAGGCTCAGCAATTAGAGATGGTAAAAGGCCAGGCGTCCTGTACAGGTTGGTTTATTAACATAACAAGTTGTCTGCCTGAAGAAGCCTGGAAACACATATGACGGCCCAGAAGAGACTCTGCAGGCAGACTGCGGCTGTCCACTTTTTATCGTCTTGACCTGGGAAGTGGGATACATACCTTTATTCATATTACAGACAGATGCCAACATGGCTGGGTTCCTCCACCAAACATTCATGCATGTCCAATCTCGAGGAGCCAGCAATCATGTACACAGACTCCCTGCAAGGTAGCCCAACTTGGTGGAGAGTTTAGGCTGGAGTGGGGTTTTCCTCCTGCTCCCCAGGTGCTTTCTTCCCTCGTAATTATGGCCCAGGAGCTCTGGATTAAGGGAGAAAATGAGTCTTGCCAATAAAATGCTTTCCACACTCGCCTGTGCCTACCTCAGCCATTTAAGGGTTGCACCCCTCAGCTCCACAACTCCTGTTCCGTCCCTACACTCAATTGGCGCAAACCCGTGGGGCCTACCCATTGCACTAGATCACCTTCACTTTGCAGAGAGAGGATGCCTATGGGACAGGCATATGTCTTCATGCCCACAAAGCCCACCACAGCTCAGCTGCCATGTACTAAGGATCTTTTTAACTGGCTAATAAAGGAAAGGATGAAGCCCGTGTCTGGCTGCATTTGGCTTGACTGGATGACAATGGCAGCATGTAAGGTGTGAGGTTTCAAAGGTAGCAGATCTGACATACCACTGAATCTCCTGTTCTGATCCTATTATTTCTCAGTGGAAGATCTGATGAGCTGGAATCTGTCTCTCTTCAGGAAAACAAGCAAATTTTGTCATCAGGATGGGTGAGGCAGAACAGGTCAATCATGGCTGTTGTTGCAGGAGAACAGAAATGGAATTGGCAGGGAGAACAGAAGGGGGAGGGGAAAGACCAACTACCAGGTAGTGATTGCATAGAGTCCTTCTCCTTTCAGAGGGACTTGGATTGAGGAGAGCACCAGTGGGAAACAGGACAGGAGATAGGTTGAAGTCTGGACCCAGCAGAAGCTCCATCAGAGTAATGACAACTATCATCAAGACCACCCATGCTATACTCCTACTAGTAACAATTCAGTCTTGCTACTTGTGGCAGGGTTGCCAAATCTCAGGATTTGATCCAAAGTTTCAGGGGTTTTAGTTTAGCTTCCTTCCCAAGTTGGCAAATCAAATTTCATGGTGAAGGTCCAGAAGCAACAGGATCATGACAATGTGGGGGGGGGGGAATGTATTCTTCCCAAAGTTCCTCTGATTGATCCCATCCTTTCCCTATGTTTTCAAATTTTAAGCAAGACTTTCAAAGTAAATTGAGCACTAGAAGAGGTCTAGGGATATAAGATGTATTGGGAATGTTTTGCTGTTGGCTCTCTTGCCTTCTCTATCAGAATTCACTTCTGGGGCAACAGGCATACATGAAGGTGTGAGCCTCAGAAACTCTGAAAACCGTAGACTGTGGACAGAACTGCCTAACAGTAGCAAGCATACTCTGGAGTCAGGGTTGCACGTCTAGACATGATAGTGACATTGCAAATTTACAACACCATCATCATGTATGATGACATCACTGCCCACAAGCAACAATGACATAAATGCATGACCTGGGCATTACAGTAGGTCTCATGCATTTTGATCTCTTGGCAGCTCAAAGAGAAGGGTTTTCTCTTGTAGAAGCTGCTAACCCAAAGATGTAACAATGGCACTAGCCACAGCATTCTTTACTGCAGGCTGGTGTAGAGGAAGGGTAGCTTCAAACTCCTGGTGCCAGCTCTTACCACTGAAGCGCAAGAGCAAAGTAAGTCAAGGACCACCAGAGCTGTTTTATATAATAAGGGAGCACACAGCAAATGGCTGGGACAGGTCATCTGGTCTGTCAGCAAAAAGGCAAAGCTTGTGCTTTCCACTTATTCACAATTATTTGACGAGGCCAACATCTGGAGATCACTGATTGTTCCAGATACACTACTTCAGTATTTCTATAGACTAGGAAGAGAAAACAGATTTTTTTTTCATATTAACGTTTTTGGGAAATAGCTCTCTCTTCCTCTAAAATGTGTCAACAGTGCATATCTATGTAGGTATCTCCCCATGAGCTCTGACTGTAGTATTGCAATCGTCTATAAGCCTCAAAGACGGCTTTGAGCCATACGCAGAATCACAACAGGAGGACTATCTGTCTCCAAAGTACTACATGTTTCATCTCACCAGTACTTCATACCCACCAGTATGCTAAAACTTTAGGTAAATGATGCAGCTTCGATTAGGAAGCTGCTTTATCCCAGGTCAGATTATCTGTTCATCTGGCCAAGGGCTGCCTAATCTAATGGATAGAATCTGTCTGTGAATCAAGCACATACTGCGGCCCACCCAGGACACTTTGATATCCAAGGTGGAAAACCCATATTGTCTGTTCCTTTCCATTACCAGACACAAGACACCCACCCTCCTGGGGAGTTCTCCAGCAAAAAACCCCATTTCAACTGAGCTTCTGCAGTGAGCTTCCCCAGGGGATGGTTCCCACCTTGGGTCAGCTCTCCTTACCTCCTCTCACTCTGCCACCTTTAACTCTGCCCCAGATGTACCACTTGAGGGGACCACCCGACCTGGACTTCCTGGCAAAGGCCACATCTGGATTCCCAAGAGATGGAAGCACGGTAGACCTTTTCACTTGGGCATAATCACATCTCAGCTCTTGCTTAATTTGAAAGAGACTGAAAGCACCCCCAAGAACTGACTGATGAGCCATTTGCTTTGCTAGATTGCTCAACCTGATAAATTGCTCACTTTAGGGAGATGTATTAAACCTAGTACTTGATATTGCATTCAAGGATTCAGTATCTCCCCTCCACACCTACTTCAGACAAAAAAAATAGCCTGCATGGCTATGTGCTACAAGCAAGCTGACAGAGCTGGGGCAATCTTGGCAGTGAAGGACAGCTTCTCAATCCCAACTGATCAATGACCTATTTTCATGGACACCCCTTTCGCATGCATTCCTCACCTGTAAAGATCCAGGTGCAATGGCAATTATTACTGGGGTTTTGCACTGCGAATTGGGCAAAATCTCTGTTTTCAAGGATTCTAGTTCTAACCTCATTTTCCTCTACAACCATCCCCTCTTTTTTGGGGGGCTACAGACTTCAAGGAGGAGCCTGAAGCTTCGAAAGTAGGCTTTGAGTGGGAGGGACTGATCACAGTATTAACCTTTTCATGTATAGAGTAGTCTTGCTCATATATATATATATTTATATTTATATATTTATATAAATAATATAATATAATATATATAGTGAGAGATATGTATAGATACTTTACAAGGCCTAGCCACCAGACATGCCATTCATGGGAGAGGGGATGGCAGGGGAAGGGGGAGATATCATTGCCTCTGCCCTTCATATTTACTGGGAGCTTCAGGACCAGCCCCCCTCCAGCTTTCATGATGGTTGGTAGGACTGGGTTACCCTACTGGCACCACCACAGCCATGGCGGCCACTGTCACCATGGAGGCTGGAAGGCAATGACAGGGAGGGTGTTCTAGGACTGTAGTCCTGGTGGCCAGCAGAGTGAGAAAGGCCATCCTCTCGTTGTTCAGTGTGCTGCCCCCTTTTTTTCTAGGGCAGGAGGTGGGGGCCGAGGGGTGTCTCCTGCACACTTGCTCCCAGACCCCAAAACAGGCACCTCTTCTTGTCCCCGTTTCCCCTTGGCCTCAGAAGAAGAGCCTCGCTTCAGTCCGTTCTTGGTTCCCTCTGGGCACAGGCAACTGGGGGTCTTAGCACAGGTTCCTAGTGTGGTGTGCTCTTCCACAACCTCCAGGATCCACTTCTCCTTGGGAGAGCCGGCCTTGTCCTGGGAACGCTCTACGGCGGGCTTCCCTGGGGGGTCAGGCTCTTGGGCTTCCTTCGGCTCTAGCACAATGGGAACAGGTCCTCGTGGGGTCACCTCTGCTTCCACGCTGCCCTTTCGCCCTTGCTCGTGCTCTTGAACAGGGCTCAGGGCTTTTGCCAGGGCCCGATTTGCTCCCGAAAATGCCTCCTCGGTCTGAACCGCTTGGCTCCTTCGGCAATCCCCAACCAGAGATTCTGCTCCCCTTGTCTTGGTGCTTGCCTCGGCAGCGACCTCCCCATCTCCTACCCCAAAGCTAAGCGGGGACTCCTGCCTGCCCAGGCGCCGGGTGGCGAGGGGCTTTGGAGCTCCCGATTCGCTGGGGCTCTCGCCATCAGACTCGGCCAGACTGTGGAGGCCAGGCTCCCCATAGAAGTCTTTCCGATACTCAGAGTGCACCACCTCCAGGCTGTGTTTCCTCACCACGACCTTCTTCTCGGCACTGAGCGGCGAGCCCAGCTTCTCTGCTGACTGCACCCGCTTCAGCAAGGGTGAGCGAGGGGGTTCGGCACTCTTGGGACGGGGGCGCACCACAGGAGGTGAGGAGTGGAGCTTCGCTGGAAAGCTCTGCGTAGTGTTGGAGCTGCCCACCGTGTGGCCAGGCAGCGGCGGTGGCGAGGACTGGGTGGGAGAAGGAGTGTGCGCCAGAGGCGAAAGGGGGATGTTTCCAGCTGACTTGCAGCGGGCAGAGCGGTATTGACGGTGCAGTTTGGGTGACAGGCCGTGCAGAGTGCTGGGCCGCATGTGGTGGGAGGAGGTGGCAGGCGAATTAGGTGTGCTGGAGGCTGGGGAACTGCTTTGTGAAGAGGCACCTGCAAGGAGGCAGAGAAAAAAAGAGATGCATCCTGAGACCCATCAGAACCTCTCAACTGCTGACAGACCCAGGCAGGGGAGCGTGACATCGCCTCCCCCCCATCCTGCAGACCCACTGGAGGAGCACCGATCAGAGACCCTGGCCACACTGCAGCTATTCACAGCAGAGAATTCTTCTGCACTGATTCAGCCCTGCCTTTCCCAACCTAAAGCCACAGCATATGGAAAGTTACTTTTTAAAAGCAATTTGTTTCTCTTATTTGTTACAATATTTAAGAAATGAGTCAGTAAGTAGTCACTACTTGCATGGGCTCATTACTTTTCCATTGCTAGACAAAAAAAGCCTTAAGACTGATGAAAATGGCACAAAACTTTAAAAATTCCTGCCAAGATGCCCCTAAACGTATTTTTAAATGCCCTTAAGAATTAACTTTTATTAAAAAAGGTTTGTCATCCTTACCCCAAAGAGTAGCTTCACTTCCACTCATTAACCTTTGCAGTGTAACTTCATTATGCCCTACGTGTTATGAAAGGGTGTTATCTCAGCATAGATTCTTTCTTTCTTTCTTTCTTTCTTTCTTTCTTTCTTTCTTTCTTTCTTTCTTTCTTTCTTTCTTTCTTTCTTTCTTTCTTTCTTTCTTTCTTTCTTTTTCTTTCTCTCTCTCTCTCTCTTTCTTTCTTTCTCACCTTTCTTCTTGAAAAGAACCCAAGTTGCTTGCAATGTGTTCCTTCCAAGTTCTGCTTGTTATAATTCCCATAATTCCATGGCGAGCACAAGTCCAGGGAAGGCAATAGGAATGTGCAGATCTGTGTTTTTGGAGTAAAACCCCTGGGGTTCCCTACATAGCAATGCTGCCTAGGGAATCCTGCGAGTTGCGGCTCAAAAGCACAGATCTGTACACTCCTAGAAGGCAAAGCATGATGACAGCCACTCTTGCTTGCCTCCAGCCCTCATGGACTAGTGGTCTGCCACCTCCATATTTGTGGATCAGCAATACCGGAAGCCTTTTCACTCTGCTTCTAGACTTTTCTTGGGGATATTTATCAAGAGACTATTGCAAGCAGAATGCTAGGCTAGAAGAGTGCTTGCCCTCATACAGTACAGGTAGTGCTTACTATGATCCAAAATCTGACATCTAGAAAGCAGACGTCTAAAAAAGAGTTGCTGAATTGCTTTGAGTGCGGTGCAACAATTCTACATCTAGACTCATCCTATGATCGTCAGAGGTCTGCTGAGTGGGGCCATAGGGCATGATCACCAGTCAATATGTGTTGCCTGCAGAGATGAGGTGCATAAGCCCAGTTTCGAGGCCCTCCTTGCAAGGATTTCTCACAAGTCAATCCTGAAGAGGAATCAGTCGCCGTGCCATCCCTTTCTAGGGGAGCCAAGCCTGGTGAGACATGGAGCTACAGTGGGGTCTCTACTTAAGAACGTCTCTACTTAAGAACAATCCAACTTAAGAACAGCTCCATTTGCTAAATTTTGCTTCTACTTGAGAACAGAAATCCAAGATAAGAACAGGAAAAAAAAACCTTTCCTGCTCTTTTTTTAACCTTAGGTCATCTTAGGTTAAAAAAAAGTCTCCCCCTAGAGGTAGAGTACGTATTAACCAGCTTTGCATTAGTTCCTATGGGAACTAATGCTTCAACGTACGAATGCACCTCTACATAACAAAAAAACAGCCAAAACGGATTAATTGGTTTTCAGTCCATTCCTATGGGAAATTTTGCTTCAACTTAAGAACACCATTCCAAAACGGATTAAGTTCTTAAGTAGAGGTTCCACTGTAGTTTCTATGGACGGAAAAAAGCAGATACGGATTAAATGGTTTTCAATGCATTCCTATGGGAAATGCAGATTCAACATAAGAACTTTTCAACTTGAGAACCACCTTCCAATACGGATTAAGTTCTTAAGTAGAGACCCCACTGTAGTCCCTGTTATCCCAGCTCAGCTCCACCCCAAGAAGCAAGCATTCCCAGCATGCTAATGGTCGGTCAATCCATCTTTCCATGAAGGCCAACCAGGAGTGAACGTGCTACATCACCCTCCTCCCACAATTGCCCTAGGCCACCTACCTAAGTAGGCAGAGTCTGGTGTGGAGCGCAGGCTCTGGGTAGGTGAGCGGGCACCCAAGCCATGGGTGGGCGAGCCCGGCAAGCTGTCACTGGAGGAGAGTGAACGGTTCAGGGATGACAAGCTGCGGCTCGTGTGGAGCAGATTCGACTGCTTGGTGATCTTGCGGAAGAGGGAACTGCGCTTCTTACTGACAAGGAAGAAAGGAAGGAAGGAAGGAGGTTAACTTCTAGTGGCTTGTGGTCTGAGCAAGGAGGAGCCTCACCTCACCTTGCCATTTATGGGTGAGACATTCCCCTGCTTTGACCACAGGCTACCCCTGAGGTTAACCACAAAGGGGATTCAGTTGTATTTCACAGACCAAATCTCAATGCTCTCTTTCCTCCTCTTCTTTCCCCCTCTCTCCGTGTCTCACCTCTCCTGCCCTTCTTTGCTGGTGCTCCTCTTGTTCCTCCTGGCCATCTTGGACTTGTAGCTGCTTTTGCGGGCTGGCCCGATCCGGATGGAGGTATTCTCAAAAGGCGTGGTGGTCACCATCACCTTGTTTCCACTCTAATAGAAGAAAAGAGAAATTAGTGGCGACACCACAGCAGAAGCATATGGTTCTTCTTCCATCAGCATGCAGCACCCGTCGGGTGCCACTCCTGCTTACCTTCAGGATGAGCTCCACCACCTCAGTGTGCACCAGCCCATGCACAGGCTCTCCGTTGACATGGGTGATGAGGTCTCCTGCACACAAACCGGCTTCATGGGCTGGACCTCCTTCCTCCACGTGCTGCCAGGAGAAGACAGAGATTGAGGGAAAGAAGGAAATAGACAGAGAATCTCAAGGCGGTTGTGTGCCATGGAATCCCATGACTTGGCCCTTATCACCGCCACTTGCCTCCAGAAGCTCACCAACCACTGAAGAAAGAGAGGGCAGTTTTTTTTGTGCTGTGGCCGACCAAGCCTGGCCAACTGGGACGCCCAGCAAGGCACCCGGGCAGGCTTACCCAGACAATGTGGTGCACGCTGTAGACATCGCTGTCACCCATGTACACTCGGATGGCACGCAGCGTGAAGCCATACTTCTTCCCCGAACGCTGGATTGTAATGGGCGAGCGCAAGCTGGTGACAGCTGGCGAATAGTCTCGTGACGGAGAGGAATCCCGGGATGACGGGTTAGAGGAGAGAGAACGGGGAGACATGGGGCTGGCCAAAGGAGAGCTGCTGTGCTGTTCCACTGCAGGGAGAGAGAGGAAGAATGGAAGATAAGGAAAAGGTCCTCGGCAGATTTATGGGACATGCATACAAGAGCAGCCTCCCTTGCTCTAGCCCCACAGTTGTTGTTGGCAGCCTGTTTTGCTCTGGCCTCCTGTTACTTTTGCTCATTTCTCAGGACCTGCCGGCAGCAGGGAAACACTACAGAACCTAGTACATGGGGAGTGGGGGTGGGTGGGTATTCTAGAGCACATTCAATTTTGCTGGAGCAGTATTTTAGGGATGTCACACGAGGATCCGTATCCAGCGGGACAGAGCTATGTGCTTCTGGTGGCCCCCCCAAAGGCAAATGAAGCCCAGTGTTGTATTCTTCCCACTGATAAAGGGATTATATATCCTAACAGTGGTGCGCCCTGGAACTCTTGTCCTCTCCCTCTCTCTTGAACACCCAAGGTGGACCACGGTCACAGAAAGGCAAGGGCTGCGTGCATATTGCAATGTCCTCTTTCAGCCTTCTGAGAACTTCAGCTTTTATTTTACAATAAAAGCACATTTCTAGCTCTTGCTGCTCCTGAAATATGCTGATCGTATAAGGGCAAGGCCTGCTCCACAAGGGGACTAAACGAGATGCCCCAGGGGTCAGGAGAAGGCCTTCCACTTGCCTGTCCTCCTCAATAACCGAAGAAAGCATAAGCTATGTAAAATAGTTAAAAGCTGTGAGGTATAAATCATGCAAAGGACAAGGTATCATGCAAATTTGCTCCATTTGCATAGATAGCACAGGTTGCAGAATTCCACTTTTCCAGTGGGAGAAGTTTTTTTTTAAATTGCAGAATACACACAGCCCAGCAACTACGTGAAAGGGTGGGTAGGGCATGCAGGGCAGCAAGGCAGAGATCTGCTGAGGATGGGGAAGCTGTGCTTGCCACAATGTATGTTTAGTCTTGCTAGCATGGGGTCAGAGGACCTATGTGGTGCTGGGCTTGATCAGGATGCAGCCTGCATAGGCAGGCCAGTCTCTGCTGGAGCAGTTCTGTGCAAGGGTCGGTGGAAGGCAGGAACAACAGAGGAGAGGAGAGGGTTTAGGGTGGAGGTCTGTGTGTGATGAACAAACAGCTAGTGCCATCAGAGGTGGGAAGGGTTGAGAGTGTGTAGGGGGTCAGGCTCAGAGTGGAAGGCCATTTGTACAGGAGGGTGCTATGCCTGCCAGTGTTGGGATGTGTGTGTGGGGGGGTGGAGGGGCAAGGAGAGGAGGGCCGTACCTGTGGGGATAATGACGGACAGCGCAGTAGCTGAGGCAGATTTGATGACCTTGCCCCCTGTGCGGGAGCTGCGCTTCTCAGCCGTAGAGTCCCCTGAGAGCTGCTGGTGCCGGGCCCGACGCAGCACCAAGTCATTGGTAGCTTTGGGGGCTGATGGGTCCAGCTCCTTTGGGGGCTGTAGGTCACCCGCTTTTGATTTATCGCCTAGTGGGGAGTGGAGAGAGAGGGAGGATGACTCAAGCCCTACATCACAGGACCAAGCTTCAGGACCCCCTGCCGTCAAACAAGGTCCAAAGGGCCAAGGGAGGGACTACCCACCCCCACCACATCCCAGAGGACTTGGTCAGGCGCACTGCCCACAGAATCATCTCTCCCCTTCATACGGCTGGTAGACCCCCTTCCCTCAGGGCCATCTTGCCCATCCCTATCTTCTCATCTGGTGAGACTACGGCCTCCAGTAGCGTATTCTGGTGGAGCTCTGAGGAGTCCCTGGTCCAAGCCTCACTTTGGCCACCAGGGAGGGTGAGAAAAAGGAAGGAGAAGATGATTACGAACGTCCAAGGATACTACTGTAGGCACCAGACATTGCTGCTGCCATGCTGCAAGGCTGCCGTCACTGGCCTCTGCCAAGCTGTGAGCTTGCTACCATTTTCATAGGCAACTCAATGGCATGGGCTAGATTAAGCTGCTACAGCACAACGGGGGGCATCACACCACGGATGTGAAGGCATGCCATTAGGTTCTGGGGTGACAAGAATCTGCTGTTCTGTCTAGGGAACCACAGACCCCCCCCTTTCTATCTGTATACATAACCCCTTAGAGATAGAGCTGTAAAAATGGACTTTTCTGGGCAAAAATATCCCAGGATCTCCAGCCCACATGGTCATTGGCGCATTGGCTGGAGCCTTTGGAAAACTGTAGCCCCCAAAATCAATTTTTCCAAATGTCGTCTTGGATGTCATCCAAAGGCATCTCTTATCCCATCCTCTTATTCTCTCCAAGTGCCTCATAAAGGGCCTGGGTGAAATCACCATGGGTCTGAAAGGGTGTTGGGCCTGGCAGTGGTCCCTGTACCCTATTTACTGCCTTGCTGTGTTATATGTCAGTAGCTGAAGAATATGCCCGACTGACCCCCAGCTCTTCCCAAGAATTCCATCTCAAAAGCCTGGGTTCTAAAGACATTCACAATTCTAAAATTTCCCAGATACCCAAAGCTCTAGAACCTCATACAATATTAGACAAGGCTGGCATGCAAACTAGCCATTGGCCGACTTTCCTACATACACTCAAGTCACAATAAGAATAAATGCAGTATATGCTCTTCTGAACATTTTATGACTTCAAAGAGCCCTTGGGTACTTAACAATGACTGTCTCTGG